CCAAACTAGTTTCGATCACTCTTTACAATTCTGGATATATCTAGGTTAATTAGGCTTTAGAAATTTCGATCCACACTGATGCACGTAAATCTGTGCAGAGGGGTGAGCAATCCGCTTGTAACTTGCTGTGAATACTAATCATTACAAAGTTTCTAATTGGTTTTGCCAATGCTAGCTCAGTTCCATACCCATACTTCTTTACGGCATTACGCTTTCGTTTTACCCGTGTGTTTTAATTTGGTCTACCTATGTAATATTTTAATTTCTTCTATTATCAGCCGACAGGGCTTGTTAAGCCAGTGCTTTTTGACCCCTTACTAACCACACACATTTTGCCGAATTTTGCAAATAATGTCCGGTGTTTTTTTCTTTCTGAGAACGCATGAAACATCCAGTCCAAACTCAGAAGGTTCCGTTTAATCGGCAGAACAGTTCATTGCAAAGCTTAACAGAATAACATTAGAGACAAATAATGTTCTCCTTTAAAGGCATAATGTTGTACACAGTAACTGACACTAATCTGGCCAATCAAATGACCATGACCTTGCTAGCACTACACTGGAAGACAACTAAGAACATAATTGGAGTCGCACACATGATAGAGTCGTTTGAGCTCTGTCTCATCACGCACTTCACTTTCAACTGCTCAACCTACAAACAGATAACAGGCGCACCAATATGATTGTCAATATCTGAACTGACAGCCGAGGAAGTGATGTAAGCACGGAGAAAAAGCACTACAGATGTCTTAGCAGTGAGTTGTTTTTACAACACAACTGGTGGGTTAGATTTCGACCTTATAGTTCCACCCAAGGCGGCGTATTACCACCTCCTTCTCTGTTTCAACGATCGAGTCAACACGGAACAACTATCGACCTGACCAAACGTAAATAAATATGCTCACATGACTTAGGCCAGTCATTTAAGCAGCCTAGTGAACGATTAACGGTGACGCCGAATTGCATGTTCGGTATGAAAATCCGCAGCGCGCCGCGTTCATTCACCCTTTCATTCGCTTTAACGGGCGGGCAAATCGTTACTAACGTCTTTCGTTATCGATACCTGATTCAGAAGCTTACTGGTCTTGTTAACGAGAATAAATTTCTGTGTATCGTCCCCACGGTAATCGCATTTCACTTTGGCAACACTTACAATCACCTAAACGCAAAGCGTGTACTAAAAGTATCGGTTTTATTTGTCCTGGGAATAATAACAAAGATTGGTCGACATGCTTTGGTGCACCTAAACGAACGACCCTTATGCGTGTATTTTTTCCCGCTACAGTAAGAAGTCGTTTCTCGTCGAAGTTCAGTTGAGTGGGGACTTGTAAGTGTGCGTCGTCTGATTTTCATTTTGAAAAAGGTGACTAAAAACTGAACAAGGTTCCTGCATTACATTTGCGTGAAGCATGTCAATCCAAAATTGGAACTGTCTAAAATATTGAAGACGTAGCATTGAGCATCCCACAGATAACAGTATGGTACGGCCACTTAAAAGAAAGCTGCGCGTCAGTGGAGGGCGAAGCACTGCCTGGTAGGTGCCCGCCAGACAGAAATGAAATTAACGTTGACTTAGTAAGAAGGATTGATAATTCAGGATCACCGAATCACGACCCCAGAACTTGCAGAAGATGTGCGCATCAGCATTGGATCTGTTCATTCCACTTTGACTGAGGATTTTAAACCTCAAGAGGATCTCAACGAAGTTCGTGCCGAAACTGCCAGCAACCGAGCAGAAGCAACTCCGTTTGGTGATCACACGGGACAGGTTGGAGACTGTCAACAGTGGTTCTAACTTTCTCTACAAATTGATCACGGGTGGTGAGGCATGGGTTTACGACTACGACTAAAAAACCCAATTTCAGTCACCACAATGGGATCATCCATCATCCCTGAGGCGAAATAAAACAAGGCAGATCTGCAGCTATGTCAAAGTCATACATACAGCTTTCCTTGCTTTCAGGGTCTGGTTTATTATGAGTGCGGTTGGTACCGGTAGTTTCTATTTCCTTGCCAAGTACCCATAGCTGCCTTCAAAGTGATCAGTATATCCCATCTTCGTCTGTTTGATTCTCCAGTATCTCAAAGAGCAACTAACAGCAATCGAAATTAGGATTAAAGTCCGTTTCATCCTACACCTCCCTCTGATAAAGAATAAAACGAAATTGAATATGCATCTGTGTGACGTTGACTGAATCGAAGGACCCCGTAAGAATAGGATTAGCAGATGTGTAACAATGATACAAAATCAGCCTAAGCAAGCCGTGGGAACTTCCTTTATGTCCGCGTGTGTCATCCGTGGTATGCTCTTCCAAAATCAGTCATCTGCACCATCACTATCCGTATTTACAGATGTTTGGATGGCTCACTTACTCATCTGCACTTTGTTACTTAGTACTACATCTCCATCCCACTACTGGAATATACTTCGATTTATTGTTACATGGCTGTGCTGTGAAACCACACGGATCGCAAGACCACAGCGAAACAAATGATGTTCCTCTTTTAAACGTAAATAACTGGTTTTTATTTTCCGAAAGCCATGCAAACCTGTTATAATTGAGGGAACGCCTCTGTTATGATTGCGTAGATGCATGATCAGATTGTCACTGGCACGGTTGGAGCACGCCTACGGTGACGGCTTGGAACGCTGGCCAATCGAACGGATTTGCGCTGACCTAATGGCGTTAGCTTAGCCCGGGGTACGCGCTGGTGAGACGGAAAGTGCGTGAGCGTTAGAACGATCCTAGCCACACCTATTAGGGTAGACGCTGAGCCCTCGGAACGGACGCACACGAGACGTGGTTACGGTAGACGCGCGCTAGTGACTTAGACGCGAACGCTGCCAGGTAACGACGCACACAAGACTACGTGACCCTACCAACTCCCAACTAAGGCGAAGAGGAGGCAAGACAAGGCCCTTTTAAGACCAGCAGAGGACAAATCACATCCAATGCTATGGGTCATTAAGTTAGGGAAAATAGCTATCACGATGGGGTGGTAGTTAGTAAAAGAGCATTGTCAACAGGTGCGCAGTTGGGCAGCGTCTCGGAGTGGCTGAACGCTGCTGCGTTGTGGGGAGGAATTGGACCCCGCTTTCCACAGCCACTATGCCGGAATTTCTGGTGCGTTTTTGCGGGGATATTTGACGCGTCCGCAACAAAGGCCATCTAACGGGACATTGCTTCTTGTTCCTAAATGAACAACTGTAGACTAGTAAACGTAGACTTTACGCACTGTCTGAGCAGAATAAATGAAACCCAAATTACGGTAAACAAGGTGCTATATGCGAATTAAGGAGCGTAAACACTTTACAAGTAAGTTTCAATCGTAGTGAAAAAAGAGCAGGGAGGTATGGCGGTTTAGCGTAGCACTTCACTAATTGGCAGTCTATCAAAAGCGAAATGCTTCGGTATTAAGTAGTCAAGGCCATGCTATTGATTTAAAGTAAATACATTAATGTTTAAGAACGTAGATTTCCAAAGAGCACGTGCATAAATTTTGGTATCGTAGTGGCAAAAGGGTTTGGGAATAGCAATGCCTTATCCATAAATATACAGTCCAGTTAGGGGAAGAAATCATGGTTCTATTTGGACTTCACAAAATGCACGCATATCATCCGCTCAGGACTGTTAACGACAACTCGCCTTGAGTGCAATCAAACATGTGGACAAGTGAAGCGAAGGGCGGAATTTTCGCACCTACTCCCCGGGAGACCTAAGGCGAATCGATAATCGCTTTAGGTATACTAACTTATTGATACCTGTTCTGAGAAGTGAATATGAAATGTATGCACCAATCGAAATTTGTCTTCATATTGTACTTTTCACATTGTTGCAGGGATATAACCGCTACGAAATTCACCGACTGGTTTAACTGTTAACCTGAACTAGTTCGCAGTTACGTTCGCATACTGTCGAGACATTCGGCGGCAGTGCATTCGATAAGTGAAGCGGAACGGCAGCAGTGTACCATGTTACTGTAAGAACTTGGATATACCATACGACTGCAATTTAACACTCATTGAGTGGCATTCGCATACGTGCGTACTATGTGAAGAAAACGTGCACTGTCATGCGCTTACATACCTTGAGGGGAAATAGCTATTAACGACATTCGAGACTGTTAAGCGATTCTCCAACTTTCCGATTACTCTGGCTAGTTATTGTTTAGAAGCCAATTTCCGGCCCATTCTAGCCTACCTATCATAGGTACAAGAAAAAATGTCGCAGCACTGATCCTTTACGGAAGTCATTAAAAGAACGTCCTTGTGCAATAAACATTCAAGCAGATAACTGTTGCTAAGCTTACCATGTAGACCAGGTTGTTGATTATAGCAAGCACATTGATAGTACTGCTACTACCGTTAAATTATATAGTGTTTAGGCACGATTGTGCGAGTGACACGCTTGTCAAATGTCAAACTTGCCCGGTTGCAACGCTGAGCTCTACGGCGGGTTTCAAACAATCACAATCTTCAGGAGTCATAACAGAACTACATCGACCCCAAGACCTAGAGCTTATGGTCCTAAGCCACCCATAGAGGTACCTCAAAGCACCATACGCAACCTTATGGAACTGGTCGATGGGATCCTAGTAGGATCGACCAGATGACGTGGCATTGGTCGTGCAAATATCCTGGCTGTCTGACCGCGGATTGAATACGCGATAGACTTATCCGTCAGCCAGACAGCGCACCAACCGCTAAGCGGCGGTCGAATCGATCGATAAGTATAACGTTCGCTCGCGATTGGCTCATGTGATCCCCAGCTGACAATGACCAATCCAGCTAAGGCCTGATTGGAAGCTGGCTACAATTGCAAGCTGCACTCACAACAGGCCGGTGGTTGTGTTGCTCGTACGCTACGGAGCGTAGTTGTGGTGGTTGATTGATGTTGATGGTGGCGACATTGACATGAAAGCGGGTTCATTGTGGTAGGCCCACTAGGATTTGCTCGAAAGACAAAGCTCCATGTGGATTCAGAGTTGTCTTGTGTACGCATGGTTCCAGACGTTGAAATGGAAGGCTCAAACGACTGTGTGAATCAATTAAGTGAATTAGTTAGTGGAATGCGGAATATGCACACCGGATACTGCGGTCAAGCGTGCCAGAATATTTGTGCTCAATCCGCCACTGTTTACCATCAGGCTGCAGAGAAGTGGGGCGCTAAACCAACCCTTCTACCAGCTGATCCGAAACAGTCATTGGAGGAATTCCCCACCGCGGACTCCGCTTATCACTCTGCACTCCCATGGAGGGATTACTCCGTTTTTGACGCTGGCCATGAGGTTTTCGATCGAATGAAAATATCGCCTTGTCAAGAGATTAATCTCGATCCCAAGTTGAATTCTCATTCGGATGACGAAATGGTTCCCACTGGGTCCACCTGGATGACTTCATTGAAAGTGAGTTTCCGTCACTCGCCCGCTGCTGATAGACGGATGAATAAACTAACCTGCGTTCATTCCGAAGCGGAATATTCCATGCACCATCAGGAGCATGATTACGCCCATCACAAACATTACTTGCAACAGCATCACTATGGTTCCAGTTGCTTCCATTACACATCCTCACGTTCGTCCCCACTTTCGGAAGAACACGTTGAACAGACTGGTAATCTCAATTATCTTACGCCGAGTGACCCGGTGAATGAGCCCCATTTTCGAGAAATTTACCCTCATTACCATCATCATTACCATCACAACCATCATCACCACCAGCACCACTCGCTTCGTGGATTCAGTTTCCCCATCAAGCCATCTGATGAGGAAGACATTTCATTCGCTTGGAACGGCAGTGTCTGTGAGGGCCTCGGTACCCAAGCAAATCTACGGATGGAAACATTGCAATTCTGTGATCCGACCGATAACACGAATTCTAATCCCGACTTCCATGGGGCTTGGCATCGACTGAAAGTTCGCGTTCTAGCTTGGCTAGACAGTGTACAGGGAGCCGGTATTAGTGTGTTAGATGATCCGAACAGCTCGGAATTGGGATCGGCAGATAACAGTGCCAAAATCGAACTATGATCTAGTGTCACGTTATCGTGTCACTGCTCGATCCGTTTGATCAATGTGAATCAATCTGTACATGTTTACCTCACGAATTGGGTTGAGTGAGTTACTGAGATTTCTTCCTCTTATTTTTTCCGAACTTGTGGGTTAGCCTTTTGGTTCTGTCTATCTTAGCCCCACTTTTTTAGTCCAGCGGTTTATGTACAGTTGTTTTTTTGATGCCTTGTATCCTCTCCACTTTTTGTAATGCAATATTGAGTAGTGTGCCAATTCTACGAGATCGGAATCCGCAATAAAAATTCGTGATTCTCGTTCACATCATTGGTTTGAAGGAGCACGGCCTCGCTGCACCAAGTGGGAATCGTTATCGCTGCCTTCATTCTTTCTTTTGACGGAAACAGCGTTTGGTTGTTTCGCATTACTATTACCCGAGCCAATTCTTATTTAGTCCATTGCTAATCATTGTTATCGGGTAAGAATTTATACCAACTTAGTTCCGTTGATTGGATTTCCCAGCCATAAATGCTAGCAGCTGGACTGTTTTGTCTATGGCAATTTTCTAAACTATTAGATGGACGGCCTACAGCCGCATATGATACTTGTGATTGCACTGTTGTCCGCACTGCATGAGAATTGTGAACAATGGGTAGCCCTTTATGCTTATTGCGTCAATAGCTAAGCTGCCATCTTCATTGTCGTTGGGTTGGAGCTACGTAGTTGCGCCATCGCATCAAGCACTAGACACCATGTTACGCTTCACCCCGTTAACATATCTTTTCAAATGTCCCCTTACCAGGTGCCACGCACAACCCATGCGGCTCTCAGACCGTTTTCTAAGTGTATTCGGTCTGTTGGAGGGAATCCTTTCTATCCTTACTAAGCATAGTGATTATAATGCGGTTACTTTTTGGTAAATCTTAATTTTGCACATTGGGCGCAGATTTCTAGCTTGGCATAGATTTGGCAAGTCGCGTTTGCTCAAAGCGACAGCGAACTCTGGATAGTTCTCTGACGTAGCAGCCATCATCGACTAATCTAATCACTGCCACTGAATGTGAGATCAACCGGACCAACTATCACCATGGCAAGTTGCGGCGTTGCAGCAGTGCCCTCTGATTAGTGAATTCCGGTACTATCGATGGATTTTTAGTGGCTTCAGATTTTGTCCGATGTATCGCTCCTACACGGTCTCAATTATTTTACATGTGCCTGGTGTGAATTTGGTATCCAATGGAAATCGGATGTCCCGAAATGGGACCGTGTAGTTTCTCCTAAGAGTACCATGTGCCAAGTAGAAGGGACATGTTCGACAAGCTTTCAGTCTGTGGTGCAAAGCACCCATGGCTTCTGATGCCTCTATGTCTATTCGTAGACTGTTGCAAAATAATGTCCTGCCAATAGTGCGCTCACGTGATATGCGTTACTAAGCCGTTCCGGTCACACAGAATGGTTGTCGCGGAATGTTCACATCAACTGTAACTTGTTTTAGTCCATCCGATCAATCACATACGTACAATAGCTTTCGTTTCCGCTTTTGTTTAAAGTATGCTAGAATGCACCGGATGGCATTGCTATGCCGGTCAATTCCTCTCTCGCGTACATACCATAGTGACACTTCACTAAACCATGATGCGCAGTTTCTGCTACAGTTAGCGATTTAGTTTGTTGGTAAACTGTGCACTCAATCTACACAAGGTGTCGTTTTTCCGGCGACCGTGCTACGCTGATTCATGGAGTTACTGTAGCGTCGCCTACCGTGTTTGCTACAGGGAATTTCGGATCGGAGCACATCTGCGGCTGGGTTAATACACGACCACTTTGATCTGTGCAACGAAGTACGGTGGATCCATCAAGATACCCATAATTATTACTGATGAGGAAAATGACGTAGATAACGAGCGGAATATAAAGCAAGAAAGCTGTTGAAAACTACTTTTTATCTGACTGGATTGTTAATGGCTACATAGCCCCCCGATACTGGGCTATCGCTGATTCTACGAAGGCACCTTGTTGGACATGGACTCGAACCAATAAATTAGTCTTCTATTTCTCGACGATACGAGAGTCTGTTTCCGCATAGGGACAGATCAAAAGGTACATAGTTGTGTTTCACATACGATCTCATCCACCATAGGATTGGAAAGAATTCACTCCAGCATTTGGACTTTGCATGGTTGCAAATCATATCACTGTTGAACTATGTGGCAAGTTCATATCCATATCAGACATTCACTGTGTTGACTGTTGGGAGTAGTTGAGTACGTTTGAAAAGTGCTGGGGAAGAGTTCCTCGTATTCATGTGACGGCCTACTTTCGTCGCTCACCACCTTGCCTTTGGTCGCATCGATGGCTAAAAGTCGGTCGCGGCCGGTTGCCATGTGGTCTGTGCGCCTGGTTTGCAACCATAAGGTCACCGGTTGGAATCTGCGCCGCATACTCAGTCCGCGCGCGACTGGCGATGGTCGCGTGACAGCGAAGCGCCATTACGGCGTACAACTGACGATTTAGTTTATTTTATGAGTATATTGCAATGTAGAATTCTGCCGCATTTTTCCGCGAGATAAAACCGGCGGTATAATTGTTTCATTCTGTTCAAATCGAAGTGATCCGCTTTCACAAGCAGTAGCACGATGCGAGAAACAGCCAGTATGCTTACATAAGATGTTGCTATCATCTCTGAATACTGCATCCTAAAGCTGTTATCCGTAACACAGATATGATGTTTTGCGCAGCGAAATATTTGACAGAGATTTTAAACTCATGTACTTTACCGCACTTCCTGATGTTTCTGGTTACCTTATTCTAAAATTTTGCGCGTGCAATGAGAAAGGAGTTTTCTGTCATTTGTTCCTCATCCCAAGGTCCTAATTTGCGAAGATGACCAATTTTCCCACCCAGTGTGTTCATTTATGCCACATATTTAACCAGTCACTCCGCCGGTTTACCCAACTAGGTGCACTTTGATTGAGGTGGTCAATGTATATCCGAAGGATCTGACAGCCAGCCTAAGCGGTTCAAATTTGGCAATTGCTCCAGTGATACACTATATGACACCTTCCCGAACATCAGCTGACGGTTACAGGATTATCCTGTTCCAACGAGGTGGATGTAATACTCCGCAAGCATGGGTGGTCAGAAGTGACCAGTTTCACCATGTGTTTAGTGCGATGTGGTCATGGTCCCACTGTATACAGTAGCACTGGCCATATCTGATTGCTAGGCTCATATCTCACCGTCCGCATAGATGGTTTATAATTCAGAAGATCATATAAGTTTTACTGACATGTCAACTGACTTGCACAGCGGTGTGATCAGCAGAGGTGCTACAACTATCAAGCTAAGTCAAGTTTTTAACCACTTCAAGTGGTTGGTCGGTTTTAGCTAGGAACGGAGACCTGTTGGCGCAACAATACTTGTGCTTTGAAGATGCAAGGCATATTACGATGCGTGCAGCACTACGCCAATTTATCCAGCAGCGCATGCTCAAGCATAACTGTCATCTGCGTTTGTCAGCAAGCCACCCGGTAGAAACTTCACTCTAGAGGCTACTGCGAGAGCCTAATCACTCATGATAATTCCGATCGGTGCACCCAACGTTTTGTGGGAAGCTCAAGAAACACTTTCTGTAGAATCTTACTGCACCACGGAAGCTGTGACAAAAACGTTACAATTGAAAATACTTTCCATGATACTGCATTTGCACCCGATCAATTTCGTCGCCTCCTCCCTCAAATTTAACCACCCCGAGGTTGGCACGATTTCCCACCTTCGACATTAGAATCCAGTACCCGTTTCTTACTTGCATGTACTATCTATTTATAGCCTGCATGGCAGCTAGAACTCGAACGCGATTGACCACAGACACCTTGCTCACTTTGCTTCCGTACTATTTGGCCTCGCTTGTCGCGAGTTGCCCAATTTCCCCATTTAGGTTCAAATACGTAATGGACTCCAACATGGAGTGTGTTTTTGCGGAATGTCTTTATCCAACGCACACCATATGCCGTGAATGCATTTTTCCTATTTGCAAATACCGTCAATATTAAACGGAGATCGATTTTCAAATTGTAACTACGCAATACTGTAACCGTTAGGCTAAACCGAAATTCGTCCTAACTGTGTCCAGTTAGGACGACCGAGGACACCAAAATTGATCACTCAGGACGCTCAAATAGTCACTAGTGCTGACTGAAATTATAGTTTTACTATAACGTAAAACCTTTTAGGAAAAGAGCGGCGGTGTTAAGTATGTATACTCGTATTTAGCATGTCTGGACATACCTCGCCCTTTATTTTCTTATGTAATCTTTGCATGGAGTCCGAGGTACTAGGTCAATTCACTTATCTTGGCAACTACATCAGCGACGACGGGCGCATGACCACAGAAGTCAGTTCTCGCATTGCAAAAGCTGGAACTGTCTTCTTGAGTCTGCGGCGTCTGTTGCGTCAGAAGGCTCGTGTTTACAGGGCCACAGTGAGGGCGTCCTGCTCTATGGTAGTGGGACTTGGCCCCTTTGATCTGAAGATCTGCGGTGCCTTCAAAATTTTGATCATCGTTGTCTGCAATGCATTACTGGTCTCAGTTGGCACCAGTGTGTCCGCAATGATGATGCTCGTAGGCGAGTGCTAGGAAGTGATAATCAGGCCAGTTACTTAGAATAACAGACAGCACTAAATAATTTGCGTTAGCTTGAGCACGTACTACGTATGCCAGGTCACAGATTTTCCGAGGACGATCTTGTTTCTTTTGCTAGATGTAGGATGTTGCAAGGCTCGAGGTGAGCAAATGAACTGGGCAGTGGTAAGCGATGTCACTGACGACCAAACTGCGTGCTGTTGGTCCGTCTCGCTTTCCAGACTGGAGTCCGCGTGACCCCCATTGTGTTTGGCTTGAAATGTTACAGTACATGGCTCACAGTCTACACCAGTGGCTCGTCTGCTGCCGTCTCCCAGTCAGATTGCCTGTTTAAAGTGTGTTTGACGCTGGGTTATCTGCGGAGTACTGGCTGATTAAG